AAGAATAAGGGGCAGACTCTGAATAAAAGAAGGTCTATGGGAACATATTATCTGACCACATGTTAACAAATTGGTACACCACTTGTTCACTGCGATACCACATTGACCTTATACTTCTGCGTCAGTAGTGTTCAGTGTTTGATGTTGTTTGCTGACAGCTCTCTTGAAAAAAAAGGTTTTTTATTTAAAATGCCAAAGTGTCATGTTTTCTATGAACAGAATAAATTCTAAAATTATGTCAATTTTCTGAACTCTGATTCATGACAAAATGAAAAGTTATTTTCTTGGAAGGTCTTAAGGCCACACACACACACAGTGGAGAGGTATGTAGATTATGCTGCATATTTTTCTGAAATTTCTGTGGACACTTTTATTTCTATGCTGACATACTGGACCATGAATGGAAAGCATTGTAACCATCATGAATCCAAGATTACACCTGCTGCCCATGTAAAGCAGAATCCCAAAAGCCTTTTACAACCCCATTTAAGCTTATTGACTTGTTGTATACATATTGAAATAACAAGAACAGCACTCACAGTAGGCACTTCACACAAATCTGTTTTTATAGCCATTTTAAGTGTAATTAAAAAAAGTTAATAGGGTTTATCTATAGTTCTTTCAGTACAGTAATGGTGAATTTTATCATGATCCAGCTGAACCATGTAGTCATCCAAAATCTTTTTACATACTAGTATTTTTGCATTGTTTTAACATTAAAAGTGTATAAACTCTTCACAAAATAATTTACAGCAATATATGCCATATAGTTTCCAGTTGAGATACAATCAAGATGTATTATATTACCTCGTGAATTTAATAGATCAGAAATCAACTCCGATAAAGAACTGGAAAGCTGTCATTGTTTCCACAGTCAGGAATGAACTTTGAACATTAGTTGACTGAATAAATATTGTTACAATGTTCTGTTAATTTAGTCTATGTGGCCCTTAAATATATCGTAGTTCCTATGTTGGCTGTTGAAGCAGTGGCGCACAGCAATATGGCTGACATTGTCATGCGGTCTGCGTGGTGAGGCAGGAGGTAGGTGGACCCAAATGCAGACACGGAAACAGGCAGGTACAGTTCAAAAGGGTTTAATCCAACAAAAAGCGAGTACACTTACAATGTAGTGGCTGAGTCCAGGAAATCTAAACAAAAGGTAAACCAACAGAAAATCCAGAGAAACAAGTAAAGATCAACTGAGTAGTAAAAGTGATCCACAAGGAAAATACAAAATCCACAAAACACTGGGAAACAGGGAGACGAAACAAGACAGAACTAAGCGGGCAATACACTGCAGAGCGTCAGAACACAACAATCACCAGATGAGGGCTGAACAGAAACACCAAACATTTATACTAGGGGTTAACGAGCAGGGCGGGGATGAGGCCTAACGAGGCACAGAGACAGCAGGGGAAAACAGACAGACACCAATAAAGCCCAAGGGAAACTAATAACCAAGAAGAAACAGAATAATATAAATAACTAATCCAGGACATAAGTAGACAGATCACAAATACTACAACTAAAAGGGAAAACAGAACGAACTACGATTAAACAGAGCACAGAGCAGACGAGGGAAAAATAACACAGAAGTACACAGACTATAAGTCTGTCACTAAGACATGAACAGAGACATAGACTAAATAACACATACTGGACAACAGGACAACAGACAGGAAAGAACCCAAAACCCAACATACCATAAGACAGAAACTTAAAAGACTACAAATAATAAGACTGAGAACCAACTAAACAAGGCAAGGAGGCATACAGCATGACAGACATGATCCATCTAGTAAATGTAATGTTGCTGTCACATGAGGCTTTGAGCTCATCTGTCTAGTTAATATTTACAGTCAGTTATAGGCAGAAATTCCAGTAATTGCATCACACTTCAGCTCCATCACCATACTCACCAATGAAACATAACCATCCACACCACATCGAAGATAATACCCAAGAGCTAGTGCTTCATAGTTTTAGACCTTCCTGATGTGACATTGCAGCTCACCAGCTAATGGTAACAATTTTGTATTTAAATAACTCCTCTGATGCGGAAGATATTTCGGACTCTTTTATAATAACTTTACCCTTCATGCACTGACAGAGATCACATGGTTTAATGAGTCTGCTCTGTTTAAACAGCTGCTATGACATAAATACCATAACAATGTCACAAAGGAATAATCAGGTTAGAAATGTTTTTAGAACATGTTGAGACCAGTACACAGCTGAGAGTGCTGCTATAGAAGATAACTTCATGGATGTATCAGATCATTATGTGTCTATGAGAAAGCTTTTTGGGGATGAGTGTTGAGTTCTTTGACCAGTGCTCATAACAGTGGCTCTCACGTGGATTTTTTCAAAAACAAATTAACAACTTACAAGCGGATAAAGTCATGCAAGAATAATGCAAATAATTTGTCCTAAAAAAGAACTTCCTTTAAGGCATATGAGGTGTGAGGTCATCCATTTGCTAAAAACACACTTCACTTATGTGTAGTTTCCTGATATGCCACTGATATTACTGATTATTTCTATCTGGGATCTCACATTTTTTGCTATAGCTATATTTACCTCTCAGAGTAAAATCTTTCATTAAAAAGCATTTGATGAGCTTATAAAATGCAAATAATAATTAAATAATATTCATATTAAAGACTAAACCAGTGGTTTACAACATTTTTGGATTGAGAGCCTTTACAAAAAAGGTAGTGTCTATATGACTTTTTAGCAGTTCCACGAAGACAGATTCCCCTCTAAACTAATTAGGTCTTATTTAAATAGCTGTTGCTGGACCAAATAAGTTAAATTATCCTATATTTCAGCTACAACAGTAAAGTGCCACTCATAGATTGTTGCATCAGTGTTAAGAATCTCATAATTCAATACATATTAATAAATCAGTCACAGGAGCAATTTGTCTGTGGGCAAAATTTTTATCCAGGAACTTTTATGTAGTACTGAAGTATTTTTTTACTGATAATACTTGTATTTCTACTCGAGTAGGATTTTAAATGCACTTGTAATGGAGTATTTAGCCATTGTGGTATTGGTACTTTTACTTAAAGTAAAGGCTCTGAGAACTTCTTACACCACTACCTTGCCTAAAACAATGGATTGCTCATGGGCATGACCCAGTTTATTGATTACTTTTAGACATCATATGACAAGATCAGTAAAACAAAGATGGAGCATACAAACGGACTCTGTCTCCATGTTGACTAGGAGGTGGATAAGTTAACATCAGCTACGTGTCAGCACAAAGCGACCTTTTTCTCTCTTTACTTGCTTGGTAAGATTGTGGCTCCACACAGCCCCACCTGCTCTAATATGATGTGGGAGTTATCTTAAAAATAATAACAGGTTGGTTGGGGCTGATTGCTTCACTCATTATGGGTACAGCTGTCTTACCATGAAACCAACTCCACTGAGAACAATGCACAGCCTGAGAGTCAGAGAAGGTCACTTCATTAATGTATCAGAACATTTTTTTCTTCTTCTTCAATTGTTCCTATCACAGCAGATTACTCCCCTTTGCACACAGCCAAAATAGACAAGCTCATGCAAACATAATGCAAACTGTTTATCCTGAAGAGGAACTAACCCATGGAGCATACAAGGCCAGCCCTGTAGTAAACACAGGGTGTTGTACTGCAACATAATGTGTCTGTGTTTGCCTGATATCATGCCAGTGATATTTCCATTTATCTTTCTTTCTGTGCTCCCAATTCCCTTTTTTAGTTTTTACTGAGATCATTTTAACAAAGCATTCAACACTGGATACCAGCAGTAACCTTGAGCGACGATGTCATGTTTCATGTATCAGAGATATTTTAAAGAGCGACTTTGCTGCTTTGGAAAATATGAATAAATTGTATTAATGTATTTTTAGGGGACTTTTTCAGCGTCCCCTTTCCTTCAAAAGCAGTATTTTAAAAAGTCATAATGATGCCCTCACTATGCATATATTATGTGTGTCCATCTTCTTGCATGAAAAAGGGGCACTTTGTTATAACATGAATACCTATCATTACCATTCATCCTATATTCATCAATAACAGGGTACATCTACTGAACCTGTTTGGACAGTAGTCATCATCAGGACATCAGCTGAACTAATATAGTTAACCAGTATGTCAGAGGTTTAGAAACTAACAGCATCAGCCATGATCAGCCAACCAATAATCTCGCTTACAGGTGGAGAAATCATTTATGGTGTTTAGGTCTACACAACCGTCATCAGATGAACAAGAATGGAATCACTTAAAAGGCATGTTAGAAGGCTCTCTCCAACACACTTGCTACACATTTCCGCAACCACAAAACAGGAGTCTTAAGGCTGCAGATACGCAGAAATTCAGAGTATTTTATACAATGCTGTCTCAATTATCTAATCACAGGACCACAACATTTGGGTCAATTGATGAATGGCACACACAAAGAGTCTCAGTATTGTAACTAGCTAAAGAAGTAAGACAGTGTAGATAAGTTTTTGTCTCTTGCTCAAGTTGTGCTACCCGCCAACAAAACAATCGCACATTTGTCTGCCCACACATTTTTAAGTTAGTGAGACAAAGCTTGAAATTCATTTATGCAGCTTTTCACAGTATAAAAGTTAATTAACTGCTCAAACTCCTGCCCCTTTGAAGACAAGTGAATGTTTTAGAAAAATAAACATGAAAAGACATTGAGGGATCCCCTTCTAAGCCCAGGCCGATGAGTGGGAAGAAGAAATAATGGTGATTACAAAATGCAGCATAAGCTAAATCCAGATCTGGCCACAAAATGTGTACAAAGGGGCAAGCGTGCAGAATTACACAGCTTTTACACATTGACACTTTCTGTTTAATGAACATCAGGCTACTGTGTGAATAAGCCTTCTAACATGCCTTTTAAGTGAAAACCTAGTTGGAAAATCATTTGTTTATCTTGAACCTAGAGAAGCTTTAAGGTAATTTTACAATACAAATGATGAAGAAGCCAAACTACACTTTCACTCAAAACCAAACTTTATTTAGGTGTATTGGACAGTTTACATGTATGCATTTAGAATTAATGCAGATCAAAACAAAACGAACAAATGAATGTTCGAACGTTTTTTGTTTTTTCCCATGATGAAGCCACTGGTTACTATCATCTAATTCTCTTTATTTCCTTTATATAAACACACACAAACCAGAATTTTGAGGTAAGCAACAGTTTTGTCATTAATAGTAAAAAGAAAAAAAGCATTCAAGATCATTCTTGGAAAAGCCTAAAGTCAAATCCACCTACACTACACTGTAATCAAGGTTTGAGGTTTAATGTGAACACCCATAAAAGCCCGGAAATTGCAGCACACCCCTCCCAATCAACCCTAATTAAAGTAATATAATAAAAACATAGATGAAAAACATTAAAAAATATTCTAGAAGAAGAAAACATTAATAAAATTATTAATAAAAACAAAAAGTCTCTGGGATGTCACAGTGGCCTAGTGGCTACGACCCGTAATAATGAAAACAGCGTCCTTGGTTAAAATCAGGCTGGGGATCTTTCCTGCACGTTATCCCCCCCCCCATATCTCTCTCTCCAAACATTTTCTGTCTATTTACAATCAATTAAAGGCAAAAACGTTCTAGCAAAAAAAAGGTAATCTAAAATCTGTCTGCATGTAATTCACAACAAGCAAACTCAAAGCACACATCAAAACAAAACTCAAAGAGAACAAAGATAACATCTTGATAAAAATGCTTGACACCAAATCCAGAGGCCTCACGCCTCAATCAGCATCCTTGCTGAGACCTTCAGTGGATAATCAGACTTCTGCTGTTTCTCTCCACTGAGCAAACCTTCAAAATTCACCAGAGAGATAAACAGTGAGGTTGTGAACAGTAATGACAAACAGTAGGCCTGTTATATCATCTATCATCTGTTTGAATGTTTGGTTTGGATCATGAGTTTCACTAAAACGTACCTGCACGTGTCACGGTGCAGCTGCTGGACCAGGTGGATCAGCGCTAGTGTAATTAAAAGTATTGTTAGCATTTTTCAGAACAGCTCATAATCAGGGCACTTATGTAACATTTTGACAAAGTTTTACCAAATTAGTTTACTTTAGTGTTTGTCCATCTGGGCTTCCTCTCAGTTCATTGTAGTATTTCTTCACCAATGCAAGCTCCTCTGTAACATCTAAAGAAACTAAAAAAAAACATACATTGATTTAGTAATTTAAATCAAATATTTACAGTATTTCTTAGTTATCATATTTGATTTTGATACGTTCCCTTTACCTGGGATTGAGACAGCATCTGTCTTGAGTGACAGGTCGATTGATTCCTGCATTGTTTCCTCCAGTGTCTGCAGGATGTCCTCCTAATTCAGCATCAAAATCTTTATCAATTCTCACTCAGAGATAAAGATTGTGCACAAGATTAACTGAATTGTACATGACTAAACTGTTTAAATACGTGTTCAGAGGGCTCCTCAGACTGGACAAAAGGGTTAATAGCTACATGAACTTTAGTATGCTTCTGTATTAGATTAATAACAATATCTGCATATTTGTTACAGTGCCTGCTGTGTTTTGTAGCAGAAGGAGCTTTCAACATAATGTATTTTCCACTTGTGTGGAAAAGGCCTTTATGTAAATGATAATTTAGAATGGTAGATAAAGATGATGATGTATATCACAACATGTTTTACTTCATCATTACAAGATCATCATCTTATTAAGTATTATAAAATATGACAAACCTCCAAGACTCTCAGACTGTCCAACATAACATTTTTAGCCTGCTCAAACATGGTGTTCTTTGAAACATTTAAGTGATCCATCATAGTGTCCTTCATGTTATTCAGCGTCCCCTTTCCTGTAAATGCTGCTGCTTCTACAATAAAACAGAAAAAAATGTTATCAACTACATTTTTCTGGACAATCATGATAAATGTTAATGTGTATTATTATTGTTTCAGGTTGTAGATGTCATAATCTTGTATCTTACTTGTATAGCATTCTTGCATAGTCGTCTGGATTGTGGTTGTTAAACTTCTGTAGATTTCTTTTTTCCCGTTCAGTATGATCTTGTTGAGTTTTGTCTTAATATTTTCCTCCTTGGATAAAATAAAGTATAGATCGACATATTTTAAATAAAATTAAGGTAATTTTTTTTTTTCAGTTTTTAAATTTTACCTAAAAAGCAGTGAAATATTTAAACAGATTTTCAGAGCAGGACCTGTGGTGTATAAAGTTTTTTTCTGCCTTGCCAACAACATATACTGGTATGATACAGATGTTTGGGTTGATTTGCTCTTGAGTTGCTCTGGATATTTATCTCATCTTTTACCTCTGTCGAGAGAAATATCAGTTGCAGTTTGAATTCTTTGTGCTTTTGAGTCAGCGTCTTTGTGTCAAGTGAAATCTTGTTGATGACCCCGTTGAATGGTCCACATGTCCCTTCATTTCTGAAACATGTTAACAAGTTGAAATATTTCATAAAAGCTAGCAACAAAGGGATTTTTGTCCTCTTTAAGTCATTTCTTACGGGAAGATCTTCTTAAATTCCTCATCAATGCTGTCGGTCAGGCATGAAGCTAAGTCCGCATTGATGTCTATTTGTTCCATATCTCTTGGTTTGTGGATGCCACCTTTCTGAGCTACACACTTCAATGACCTGTGAAAAGCGCTACCGGATACGTCTTCCTAAAACAAAACACTGACATTTAAAGACATTTTCATATGAAGTGCAAAATCAGGTGATTTGATGAAATTATAATTCAAATACCTACAGGATTTAAGACAGAGTGCAAGATTTGGTCACATGAACTTTTTGATTTTTCAACCCCCTCACTCAGGCATTTTTCAAAAGCCTTATGAGCCTCGTCCATGGCTTCTCTGACTTTATCAAGTTCATGTCTCATGTTCTCTTCAAGGTTTGTGCGCACTTTTGTTTGTTTGTCAGCCTGAAATCAAACACAACACATTTATTATTTAAAGCAATGAAATGATACTGCTGTCTGACAGTATTTATGTTTTATGTTCGGCTCATCCCTCCCTTGCTATGGTGGCCGACACACTCTGTCGGGTCTTGTGCTAAATAATCAGTGTTGGGCAAGTTACTTCCAAAATGTAATACATAATAGATTACTAGTTACTAGTTAGTAATTGGATGAATTGTCTCCCTATTAAAAAAGACCCTGTGTGCATTTACACATGAGGTACAGCATCATTACGTCATTGATTATTTAAATCACCTGATCTCCCAGCCTCGCTAATCACAAAAGTAATTTGTTTAAGCACAAACACACAGCCTATAGAAATCTATTTACGCGTGATCCATCAAGGGAGTTACCATCTTCTTAAGAGGAGCCAATCTCCCCTGTAGTTTGCAATCTCGACCATCGGATTCCCGCAACAGGAAATAACTTTCTCGGTGTTGGTGAATTATTAAAAACACCACTTTTGGGTTAAAATGCATTGTAACGCACGTTACTGACATTGTAAGGGGTAAAATATTACCTTTTCTTTAGTAATGCGTTATATTACTGCATCACAGCAATACATTGCATACACTGTAATTGCACTACTTTTGTAACACGTTACTCCCATCACTGTAAATAATACATGTGGTCCTGCATTTGTCCATATTTCACTTCTCTTCTAATAAACCAGATGACTACTATTACTGCTATTTTTACTTCTTCTTCTTCCTCGTACATATTCAACATAGTGATGAAACACACTACGTACAGTTTGTCTGATGGCGGCACAACATGGCTACTTCCATCTAAGGAGACCCGCGAATGACCCATTCTAAGGTAATAAAAACATAATGCTTCATAATGTAAGGTCTTTATACATAACTGAAAACATAGTTATGTATATTGCATTTTCTGTCACAAGATCCTCCTAAATATTACACACTGGACCTTAAAATTACTATGGTTACGGTTATCTCTGAAGAAATAAAAATTCAGAAAATCTACTACATTGATGGATATAAAATTTCTTATATTATTTTCTGTCAACATTAATGATAATTATGACACTTAAAGCCAGTTACTTATGTTTTATTACTTGATCTTACCACTTCTATAGATTTAGCCCCTTGAATCAGACAGAGAATCCCATGAGCTCCAGACACATACTTTAATGTCTCTGAGTAAGAGTCATTGAGATTTTGCAGAAATTCCTTAAGTTTGGGGATTTCTGTAAAACAAAAATCTATTAGCATCTTTCCTATTTACATGCTTTAATTTAAATGTAGTCCAACTAGAATATTTGCATTTCCTTTAAGAAAACATGTGTGATTGCTGCATCTGCTGCTGCTGTTTGTCGGCCCAGCTTCTGAAAGAGTTCCAGTGAGAAGAGCTGGAGACCCACACTTGAAGATTAAACCCAAAATAGGTAGTACTTGAATTACATTCAAGATATATGAAGGTGTTTGATTAATGGCCATAAGGTAGCTATTGATGTCATGCTTCAAAACCGTGGAAGAATATGAGTGCATAATGCTGTACAGTAGAAGTGGCCTATATCATTCAAATTGGCCTCATCCCAGAAACCCACTCTGCAATAATGCTTCTTCTATTAATGGTTTGTGTGTTATTAGCCAAAACATAGCAGCAGACCAGATGCAAACAAGAGATTCTAAGCAAAGTTATTTTATAAAAATAATTGCGAAAACGTAAACTTAATTATTATAATATATATTTTATATCACCTTGTGATGACCTCAATGCATGTCATATGTGCCAGAGTAGTGGGTGGAATATGCAATCACACAGTTCATTCTTATTTGAATTAAAGTTGTCAAAAGAAACTTCCCCTACCATTGTCATCTGGGTTTGGATGGTTTTGTTTAAGAAACTCTTTGGAGCTCACTGTGAACACTTTGAAACAGTCATCACTGAAATGATTCTGAAAAATATGTGATTGAAATTTGATTTTAAGGCAGGCTTGCAGTTGTAAACAATTTTCGTGTCAGATTTTTTATTAGTCTATAAAACTCACCTTAACCTTGCTTTGATTGTTGAATTGTTTTCTCACTTCTTCCTTGACTTTTTTAAATTTGAGAGCACGATCACCAGCAGCTGAACTATAAGAAAAGATTTTTATCAAGGCTCACAACATACAGTATTTTGAGCACTGAAACATGAAATCATAAATGTTGACTCTGATTTCTTACCCAAAGCAAAATATAATTTTTTATGTTTAACTAAGCCAGGAAAGCCTGACAAGTTTTCTAGTGTGGTATCTTTCTTTATTTATTTTTTTACCTCATTCACCTCAAGAGAAGAGACTAAAGGATGGTTGTTTTGGTAAATGTATGTCTGATGAACTGCCCAACCTCGTTTAGTGGCAAACAGCCACTTCCCTTAGCCTTTCTATGGAACCTTCGTTGGCTGTGTTTGGATAAGCCAGTCCTAAACAGGGCTGCAGCAATGCCTGTGACACGCAACTCATGGACCCTATGCATCAAAAAATATTACACTCTCTTTGTCAAATCTGAACATATGGTAATGCACATATTTTTTGGTTCCAAGTGACATACACTTTCAGAGAACATCATTATCTCTGATGTCCATCTCCAATAAACCTCTGTAAACCTTATCAGAAAGGATGCTCTTCATAAGTGCAGAACTTTACTGTGAAGTTTTCTTAAGTATCAAAATAATCCAGTAATCTGTGCATCCCTAACAAGAGCTGCAAATAGCTAATTCTGCACACTACATTTAAGTAGTTTGTCGAAATGTAAACAAATACAGGCTAAAAAACAGAGCTTAAGTTTTAACCCACATCAAACCAAACACAAATGAGATGAAAAATAAAAGGATTAAATAAAATTTATGTTGCGCTATAAATATATTTTGATATTACAGAGGCTCGACCCACATAGCGTGGGAGGCAGAAATTGGGAGAGGTTGTTGGATTGCAGTTTTCTCAATTTTGTTTTAGGTGGACCCAGAGTGTGAGACCCCTGCCCTTAAACTAAGAATAAAGTATTTACCAAAACTACATGTGCTGTTATGACATTATATGTATATTTAGTTGTGTTTATTCCTGTTAAGCTCTTGGACGCCATGTCAGGAGTGTCTAATTTGTATTTTAAGCACTTACGGACTATCCGAATCTTCAATAAGATCTGACTTAGTGCAGATAAAGTGAATTTCTTGACATTGGCCACCATTTCCCATTTTGCTACTGGTGTCTTTCAGGATGTTCCAGGCTTCTGTCTCTGATGCTGCTCGACTAATGTCAGCCACAATCCACACAGTAGAACAACTTCCAACAACCTGAATGGGCATAATCACAATTATGAATATTCTTTATCAGTGCTTTGTAATAAGATAATGCTACAGTCTCCAGCTAACACATGTAGACAATAAACAACATTTCATGTGAATAAATTACCTCTGTCCACATTTTATCTCTGCTCTTGTTACGGTCCCCATTTCCAGGAAGATCCACAAGTGTGACATTCCGGAGAATATCTTTCCCGGGCACCTTGACAGTGACACACTTCACTAGTGGCCAATACCACCTCTTTACTTCTTCACCTTCTCTGTCTTTTGAGTCGCTTCTTGTGAAATTGACAAGGTTTTCAGATAGCTCTTCAGCCTGTAATAATAAAATAAATGTGATTTTTTTTATTTTGACATTAAAAGTGCTTTACAACTTGCATGAAATAATTAGAACAAAGTAAAGAAAGAAAGATACAATAAGAGCAATTATAAAATCCTAAAAGTAACAGCAACCTTTAGCAAGGCAAAAAGTTAAAATTAGATTAATTGTAAACCTGGACTGGAGACAAATGTTCATTTCTTAGCGATGGTGAACAATTAGGTTTAAAATTTAAATCAAAATTTTTTTTTATTTGACCATGATTAAACAGATTTTCACAGTGCACAGGATTATCTGGACGGTTACTGCAACTTTAGGGGTTTTCAGACCAAACTGTTCTGGGGACTACCTGAGTTGCCCACTTGGGGAGTTCCCCCGAGTACTACATTTCTTCAAGAGCTAATTTTTTTGTTTGCATTCACAGTGAGTGAATGCAAACAAAAGTCCGACTGACAGTGAGTCAATCGGACCACAGTCACTGGTGAAAGAGAAATGTAGATTTGAGTATTGTCAGTGTGTAAACGGATGTTGTCCGAAATATAAAGGGCCTTAACTTGTTTAGGGCAGCACCAGACAGCTCAGTGTCGGTTTGCCAATGCCATGTGCAACCTTTATGAGACCTGTTTGGGCACAATGATGGAACCTGATGGGATTTTGTCTAAGTAATTATATAATGTTATTTAGTTACTAGTAATGTTCTCTTTTCATATGAAGCGTAAATTTGATGAGTATACTTTTAAGTGTTCTCTCCTTCTTACCGATTCAAATGTTAAAATCTTCTTTTTGGAAATAAGAAATTCTGAAATTTTTTCAAAATATTTGTCATCCATGAGGTTTTCAGGGGATTTGTCTTTCCATTCTTCTCCATACACTGCTGACACCTTTTCAATAAAGTCACGATAATCATCGTTGTCCTGATGTGCTTTTTCCCCAAGGAAAAACTCCAACTCTGTTTCCACTGCTGCAAAATAAAATAAAAATTGTTTAACTCAGTTTAATTAAATGGCATGTAATGTAACTATCAACTACAAACTAAGTAACAAACATATTCAGCTCACTTTACCTCTTTTGTAATGAACTCAATTTCTGCCTCATACTTTGAGCTCTGCATGTTAGCCTCCACTTTAATCACGACTGTGGTACATGCCCTGAATTCTCCAGAGGGCAAGAGATTCTTCTCCCCGATGATGGCATTTATCAAATAGCTCTTTCCAGCCCCAGTTTTACCAAAGACACCGACCAGCTCCCTCTTCTCTGTCTCCAAAACACTGATTTTATCTCTGTAATGCAAGAGTTTAAATGAGTACATTGATTAATTGGAAAATAAACAAACACTGAAAAAGGCATTTATCAATGAAGAGCCTACTCAAGCATAAATTAAAGCAACTCACTTTTAATATTAACAATGGTACAAATGACGATTTTGTGAATGTGACAGGGGTCATAGATGAAAACTATGAGGTGTCCCACACAGAATTACCATCCATATACATGTATATTCTTTTCCTCTCTCTCACACACACACCAAACGCTCTCACACACACACACACACACACTCACACACTCACACACACCTGAAACGCTCACTCACACACACACACACACCTGAAACGCTCACTCACACACACCTGAAACGCTCACACACACACACACACACACACACAACTGAAGCGCTCACACACACACACACACACAACTGAAGCGCTCACACACACACACACACACAACTGAAACGCTCACACACACAACTGAAATGCTCACGTACACACACGTGAAATGCTTTTACATACACAACTGAAAAGCTCTCACACACACAGCTGAACGCTCACACACACACACGTGAAATGCTTTTACATACACAACTGAAAAGCTCTCACATACACAACTGAAACGCTCACACAAATACAAGTGAAATGCTTTTACATACACAACTGAAACGTTGCCACACACACACACAAATGAAAACCTGACACACATACAAGTGAATTTCTATGGTTGATCCCAGCTTGCATTTCAGGTAAGTTAACATTAAAGTTATACACCAAAACTTTAAATAATGATTTATATGTTATTGATATTATACATAAATTTAAAATGCCTTAATGATTTTAAGTGTTTACTGTAATTGTGGTTTGCAACACCACAATTGTCTAAACGTGAATCAGCTTTAAACTAAGTTCTAACTGTTAAATGTCTAACAAACTATTTGAAGCAAATCAATTAAACCTGAATTCAGATTTTCACTTTAGTTATGAGTCAATAATTTGGATGTCACTTGATTATAGTGTTTCTTTTATAAGTCAATGGTAAGCTAATGTTAAGTTAAATATGGTAACATGAGCTATTTTGCTTGCATAATGGTAGCCATAGTTATTATTTCCACTTTTTGGCCTATTAAGGCATTAAAAGGCCTTCTCTACTCTACCCACTCCCTGCTAGGAAGAGCAGCAATGGATCTCCTCATTGTCCACTGTGGTTTTAAACATCTGTGTTTTATGTCCATTAAAAAAATGGTTTATGGTTTCCATTGCAATAAATTCTAAATATATTTATACTTTAGACTTATTTTGTCTTTACTACTGACATTCTGATTGTCAATTGAAAGAACCATCAACCATCACAATCGAATATTAAAGCTTAACTCTTTTGCTAAGGGAGAGCAGTCTAGTATAAGTTGAAAAGTGAAAATACTGTTTCATCTTCTGACCTTGGTCAGAAGACGAAATAGTTAAGCAGTTTTTTAACATTGTACCTTGTACTTGAAGATAACATAGGAGCCTTACACTCAACAAGGTATTGAAGAGTGCCTTGTTTGCTGCTCTCATGTACAGCAAGTCTAGTTCAAAGACAATGAGCACAAATCCAAACAAAACTGGGTAAAGTGCTTAAACAAAGAATGACCTGCTGACTGAGAAATAATGAACCCCACTAGATGTATCATTAATTGCAATGTTGCAAACTCTGAGGTATTCTCAGGCAAGTAGCCCACAGAGCAAAAACAAAAAATCAGCTGATCGAATGCACTTGTAGCAAATATGTGCTTTGTATCAGTTAATTTTTTTCACCCTTTTGCCTCACTACACACTATACAGTAAGCCAATAAACATGTAATATCCACAAGACCTACTCAAAAGGTCACAAGAAATGACACCATCTATAGAGCTTCAAAACTATTCAGTGTACAGATAATTCTTATTTTATGTAACTTCTTAGTGAATGTCACATTTGTCTCTTAAAGAATCTCTCCTTCTCTAGCTCTGCCTGGAGTCTGTCTGGTCAGAGTGCGCCTCTCTATGGCGCCTCCCAGAGCTGGTGTGCTGGCATTTGATAACTAGCAGTGGGCTAAAGCCGACCCATCTGATTAGTTTGAAATTGAGCATATACTTTGGAAGAAATCAAACTATGCGCCGATGCTTGTCAGAAGCAATAAATGAATAATGGTGTTGTACGATCAACAGTTGTTCGCTTGTATTGTGAGATGTGTGCTTTTATTTAAACAACTTCCTGTTCAACTGAAATGCCTTCCTGTTCAACTGAAATCCTCTCATGCAACGTACTGAAATGCTTTTATACAACATATTTTACTTGAGTGTGTGAGAGCGTTTCAGTTGTATGTGTGTGAGCTTTTCAACTGTGTGTGTAAAAGCATTTTACTTGTATGTGTGCGAGCTTTTCAGTATAGTATGTGAATGGGTTTGGTTTCATATGTGTATATGAGAGGAAAAGTACATGTGTATGCATGGTAATTCTGAATAATGTCCCTAGGGGCACTCATATTTTTCTGCCCACAGACTTTTTTTTTAGTCAACTCACGACTGAGTCATTTTTCGGATGCAGCAGGCAACTGATTTCAGTGAAAAAGCTCTGATAAATCATTGCTGTACCTGCCCACCACAAAATGACAAACAAACTTAGCAATTACCTGGTGAACCACGTCATTTAACAGCTAAAGCGATAATGATGTTTCCCTTAGAAGGTTGTTGAGACCAAAAACTAAAAGGATGTGAACACATTTGCATAGCAACTTATAAGTAAATGTGTTTGCAGTTTGTTTACGCTGGCCCCAAACAACCAAAAAATCTGTTAATTCAGGTTTAAATACAGGTTTCACCCAAGAAGAAATGCAACTAAATGTCAGTCATCATCCACATGTGCAGCTTTGCTTACATATGCATGAATCAAATGTGATAAATAAAATATCCTCATCCAGTTTGCTGACATGTTAGCAATTTTCCAAGCTACTTGTTGGATTTACTTTTTGCTTTACACATATCTGCCTGCCTACTTGCTTGCTACGTGTTGTTGCCTTTCCTATATGTAAGCTCATTTATGTATAATAAATTCATGTACTGTGCTTTATCTGCCCACCCTGACAATATTAATTTAATTATTTGAATTAAAAACAAAATTACATTTGTTTGCAAAGGTGGTCAGTCCTTGCAATGATCTCACAATGAGTTCAGTTTTTATACACTTTGACACAGCCGGGGATTTAATCTTAAAAGGCCATTTTATACTTTTTGGCTTTTCCCTCACATATAATGAGTTATATATCTTTTTTGTGCCTGTAATAGGTTTGCAAAGTGAAAAAGCCCAAAGTCTAGCCCAAAGTGAGTTCCCGTCTCCCACAGAAAACAAACTGCCTGAAAACAGCTTGATTGTAGTCCAGCCTTTTCTTACGCTTCCTTGTGACATCACAAAAAAACACAGTCATAATGCTTGCCTAGCAGCTTATCAGACACGCCCTCACAAACACCGGTGGAAAAACACACAGAGCTGCAGGGCACATGTGGCATGACGACCCATGCGAAGAGCATGAAACAGGATAATTTCTGTGATTTAGTATGCAAGTTAAAAGTGTTTCATGTTTTCTTACGTTTCATAAGCATTCATGTGAAGATAATGTTAATTGTAGTCAGGAATTACAGTACTGTGTTATTCATTGCCAGTGTCTGGTTAGGCAATAGTATGAGTTAACGGCCAGTAGGTGTCAGTGTCGTTACGTGAGGAGCAGAAAATGTGCAGCAGGGAAGTCTGGCGTGTGTATTTCAGATAATGACATTTTCTGTGTACAAGAGGTAAACAGAAAATCCTGTGTAGCTATCACTGGTGTTTTTCATAAGTTAAAATGTGTTTTGTGTAATATTGCAATAATATATATTTTGGTGTTATGCTGACCAAAGACTGGAAATTAATGACACATTACCATCAGAAGAGTTTAAGAGGAGGTGTAATGTTTTATTTTGTGCATTTTGAATATTTTGTCATTGTCAACAAGTCAGATAAAAACATTCTGTGTACAAGAGGTAAACGGAAACACTGTGTAGCGATTGTCAACCTAAAGTGATATTCTTGCATTTTGCAGAAAATCTTCATTAAATATGTAGCACCAGATTGAGCATTTTGACGTCATTCTGCGCCCCGCTACACACACATTGACAAGATGTCAACCTGCTGCCTCTCCTCTCCCTTCCAAACATTGGCTACCCTCCAGGCAGTCAATGGACAAAGTTGTCACCGTGATGAAGAGACAGCGCACAGTTAAAACTTTAGGGATGAAAGATGTTACAAATGAATAACTCACCACTCTGAAAGTCCAATCTATGAACTGAAGCCGTGTTTACCGGCTTTTCAGGACCCACCCTACTCTACTTCCAGGGGTGGACTGGTAATTTGGCATACCGGGCAAATGTCCGGTGGGCCGATGAACCTTTTGGGCCAGTGTAAAGTGAATTATTTATTTATATAACTTTTTTTAAAAAATGGGCCAACGACCGACACATAAAGCATTGACCGCTGCCCATTTGGGTAATTTTTTATACCGACAATTGCTGGCCCAATCACAGCCTTACTAGCCCCCACCCCTACCCTTCCCCCTCTGCTTCTTGCATGAGAGTCTTCAGACTTCTGCCGCCAAATCCATGAAAATAACCAATATGTTTGCTACTGGGGCTGCAGTAGCTTCAACATCAGTTGCAGTACCCAACATAATGCAAGCACAGGCACCTGAAGGAGTAAAGGAGAGCCAAGGCCACTGCCAGGCAGAGGAGGTGGCATGTATTAGCGAAACAGAGATTCCGGGGGGGATCTTGTAGAAGTGAGATGCATTAC